ACCAAAGAGAGCACATTGGTGTGCAGGTAGCGTGATCCTCAGAAGCAGGTGTGATCACAGGGCCTCGGAGCTGCACTGCAGATACCAGACAGAAGCCCCTGTTACCGTCTCCTTCCTCAGGGCCAGCCCCATCTCCCACCATCAAGTCCCCCCGACCACAGGAAATCTGGGGAACAGTTTGTCTCTGACACAGCTTTCTTAGCTTGGCTTTTCCCTGTGGGTCCCTTGTCCCTCACCACCGGCTTCTCACCAGGACCCCAGTCCCAGAGCTAAGTGTGTGTCCACAGCCTGTAGCTGGAGGCCTAGGCCAGAAACTGTAGGGCCTGTACTCAAGGGCACCGTGGGAGCCATTGGTCACTGTGGCCAGAAGGCCAGTGCTTCAGCGTTAGCTCAGCAGGGGCTCACTGGATTCCATGGGTTAAAGTCCAGGACCTGGCTTGCTTCAGTGAGGCTGGAGCCAAGGCCCGAAGCAAGTAGGTAGACTAGGTTCCTTTCCTGCCCGAGAGTTGGCTTCCTTCTGAGACAGGCTGATTTTCCCCTGAGAGGTCTTTGGGGCCACGGCGCTAGCAGTGGGGCAATCCAACCCTGGCAGGGCAACCACCTCCCTCCCATGAGCTTCAGCAAAGAGGTTGATGTTAAGGTGCTGGGTCACCTCCCAACTCCTGGGCAGGAAAGGATCGCTCCACCCAAGCCCCATGACCGACCAAGAATGGAGAAAGGGGCCTCTCACAGGAAGTGGAGGCAGCGCTACCACAGGTGGGACTGATCTCAGGGGTGAAGTTCTGGGGGACTCTGCTTCAGCTTGGCTGGTCTCTGCTCCTCCACTGCCGTGCCCGGGCTCAGCAGGCTAACAGCCTGGGCTCCATGATGACCTCCCCAATCTCCTTCCTTCTGGCTTTCAATGGGACTGCCCAGGAAGCTGGCTCCAGCCAGGAGGGCCACCTGTTCCACCCACCTTGGGGCTGTGCTCTCTGCCCATAGGGGAGGGCTCTGTGATGATCGGTGGGCAGTGCCTGAAAGGTGACCGCCTGGGCAGGGACCTGGAGAGATGGCATAAGGAGACCTGGAACAGAGGCACTGACAGAGCTCCTGAAAATGGCCAGAGCACCAGCTGACCCTGCAGGCTATGCCTGGGCGAGAGACCCTCCAGACCCTTGCAGAGTCAAGGCTGGGATAGCCTCCACAGGACTCAAGAGGGTCCCCAGCCCCCAAAACCACCCTGGGGCCTTGCTGGCCACTGGAAAGGGCAGCTGCAGAGGTGGACAGAGGCAGAAGTGGTGCCGGCTGTGCAGTGCAGTCTGGGGAGGCTTCTCAGGGTCTCTGGAGACAGCACTGCTCCACCTCCTTTGCTTCACTGTCCCAGAAACGTTGGGTGGGAGGCAGGACTCACTGTACCTGCTGGATTCTACTGCAACCTAAAGATCTTCCCATGGGCTGTCTGGCACAGCCTTCCCCCACCTGGTCCTCTCTTTGACCCAAAATGACAAGATGCCGTGGACAGAGCATGTGTCCAGACAGGGAGAGAGTAGAGCCTGCAACCCAGTGAGGAGAGGGCAGCCTTCCCTCCACTGGGGCAGCTGGCAAGGAGCTGCCCTGGCCAGGAGAAGCTCTGCACTGCAGCGCCCAGCCCCAGCACAGGTTAAGCATGGTCAAGACAGACACCCACAGGCCTCCAACTGGCCTTGGTGGGTATCCACTCAGCTGGCCCTGCAGCATGGCCAAGAGCTTGATCTGTGTGTACCATGCCTCTGCYTCCTGGAGATGGCTGGAGGTTGGCCACCCAGGTATCTTAGGGCCAGAGATGCCACCACACCATGTCACCTATGCCCTGAGCCTGTGGTGCCTCAGGCTTCTACCATGAACCTGTGAGCAGGCTAGCCAGAGCCCTGGGAGTCTGGAGGCAAGGACTCAGGGAGTTTCCGAGGTCACCCTCACTTTCTGCTTCCCTGTGAAGCTGGTATCTCCCCAAAAAGCTGGGGGCCAGCCAGAGCCAGGGCTTGGCCTGTCTGAGGGATAGGCAGAAGCAAGGAGTGCCTCTCCCAATGCCTCTGCCCCGCAGGCTCCCTCACCAGGTACAAAGGCCTCACCAGCTGCCTGGTGTTGGGTGGGGGTACCCCAGACTAGGGGAGGAGGTGCACTGACTGGGCAAGGGACTCCTGGCCCTTCACCTCAGGCTGTAGCAGAACCTCCTAATTCTGGTGCTGACCTCGGTTTTCAAGGTGACCAGGAGTGGCGCCAAGGAGGGGGCTCTATGGGTGTGTGGGGGAACATGGCTATCCAGAGATGTGTAGTGCAGGGTCCTCAGGAAGGGACCCTAAGGGTGCTGAGGTGAGTCCCCCTCCCCTCCCCCTGCGATGCCTACCAGGCCGCGCACTGGATGGGCTTGTGTGCCTTGTCCCCTTCGTACAGCCCTGGATCTTCAGGAGCCCTCAGGAGGGCTCTCCCAAGGGGTTAGCTACTACGGAGGGTCCCTTCTGTAGCTGCACTTTTAAGGTGTGCGGAATTCATGAAGTTTGCACCTAACGAAGCCTCACCTCGGGCTTTCGTGCAGTGTGGAGCTCTATTCCAAAGTTGCAGGAGCCCTGGGCGAAGGAACGTTGGGTCCTCACCCACGCGTCCTAGGAGGCGGGACCCTCATTTTGCAGGTCCCCACCATGAGTTCAGGACCTGGGGTCCAGCCACTAYGTACCCCCTCCGAAATGCACAGAGTCCCTGACGGCCTGTCAAGGGAAGCTGCAGAGATGCAAGCCTCTGGACCACAGCCAGCAGAAAGGGGGGTCCAGCCCGCAGTCCAGACCCGGCCCGCCGCGCCCCGCAACCCGCCGCGCCCCCTGCAGCGGCAGACCCGCCCTCCRGCGCCCGCGGGCCACGGCCCGGCGAGGGTTAAGGGGGGCGTGGCGTGGGGCGCCCCGCCTCCGCCGCCGGGTCCGAGCGCGCACGGGGCGCGGGGGCGGGTCGGAGCGGGCGGCGGCGGAGGGCGCGGCGCCGGGCGAGTGCGGGCAGCGGCGGCAGCAGCAGCAGCAGCAGCAGCAGCAGCGGCGGTGGCGGCGCGGCCCGCGTGACCCACCGCCGCGCCCCGTGCGCCCGCGAGCCCGCGCTCCGCCGCGCCGGCCCAGCCGCAGGATGCGCGCCCCGCCGCTGCTGCTGCTGCTGGCCGCCTGCGCGCCGCCGCCGGGCGCCGCGGCCGCCCCGACCCCGCCAGGCTGGGAACCGGCCCCCGATGCGCCCTGGTGCCCCTACAAGGTGCTGCCCGAGGGCCCCGAGGCGGGCGGCGGGCGCCTGTGCTTCCGCAGCCCCGCACGCGGCTTCCGCTGCCAGGCGCCCAGCTGTGTGGCGCTCTCCACGGCCGGCCGCTCGCTGCGCGCGAACGTCCTGCGCAACCGCAGCGTGCTGCTGCAGTGGCGCCTGGCGCCGGCCGAGGCGCGCCGCGTGCGCGCTTTCGCGCTCAACTGCTCGTGGCGCGGTACCTACATGCGCTTCCCCTGCGATCGCGTGCTGCTCGGCGCCTCCTGCCGCGACTACCTGCTGCCGGACGTGCACGACAGCGTGCGCTACCGCCTGTGCCTGCAGCCGCTGCCGCTGCGCACCGAACCCGCCTCCGCCGCCGCACCGGAGCCCGCCGAGTGCGTGGAGTTCACCGCCGAGCCGGCCGCCATGCAGGAGATCGTGGTGGCCATGACGGCGGTGGGCGGCTCCATCTGCGTCATGCTTGTGGTCATCTGCCTGCTGGTGGCCTACATCACCGAGAACCTCATGCACCCGGCTGTCAGGCGCCCTGGCCTGCGCAGGCAGGCCTGAAGCGCAAGGCGGTCTGCCCATCTGGGCACAGCCTGCCCAAGTACGCCTGAGACCCCAGGCCCTACGTCTGCTCCCCTCCCTCCTCCTCATTCCCGCTCCCTCTTTAAGATCCCCACGGAGGGCCTGATGGAGACGAATAGGGAACCAGCCGGTCCACACAGGTATCTTTGCATCGTCACAAGACCTTCTCAGTCGGGCGTCTGCTTTCCAGACTCTGACTCCGAACTGGCCCTTGGGCCTGGGATGGGGTGCCAGCTGCATCCAGGTCTCTAGGCTTTCCAGAGGCCTTTACCAGGGGGCCCAGGACATATAGCCCCTTCCAGCAAGAGCCAGTGGCACCTGGGATCATCACCCTGAACCTCCATCCTCTGCCAAGTCGTCGAAGACAGGCCATGGTCATTGCTTGGTCGCTTTGTGCTTTACAGGTTGGGGGAGTGGCCCCTTGGAGCCCGTGTTACCCCCTGCCCTACCCCAATGGGCTTAGGTTAGCTTTGTGCCTTAGTTCCTCAGGCCCACCGCAGGAGCCAGCCACCACCCCACTGCTGTCCAGGGGGTCTGTGGCTCTGAGACTGGCTGGCTTTGCATGCTTCTGGCCAGAGTCCCCCTGGGAACACCCCCTTCAAGCTTTGCGGAAGCCTGGGGTAATCAGGCCTCTTAGTGTCTTCTGTGGGTCTGACCAGCCAAGAGCCACGATGTAGCTCAGCAGGCCGGGCCCAGCATCGGGTTGCTGCGTCCAGGGGTGAGTGTCCTCTAGGTGGGGGAGGCTGGTGATTCCCCAGGGCCAGGCCCCCCTCTCCTTCTATGTACACTGCCTCTGGTTAGGACTTTCTGTGCGGAGTGAGGGCAGGTGGTTGGAAGGATGGCATTGGACCCCAAGGGTAGAAGGAGAGCTGCCAACCTAGCCCAGCCGGATCTGCCACAGTGGTCTGGATCCTAAGCCTCAATCAATCCAGGAGACCTCAGTGGCCACGGTGTGACCAGCTGCAGTACTCCCAACTCTTTTCATGATTGGGGGTTGAGAGTCCAGGATCTGACCCCAGTGATGCTGCCCATCCACCCACCATGGACAGAGGCTGGGCTTGCCCACCTCCTGGCAGATCTGAGCACCTGGCTGAGGTCACCCAGCCACCTGGTGATGTTGGCACCCATGGGAGGGTGGCACTGCCTGGCTCTCCATGAGCCCCTGGCTCTTATCACCTGGACTTGACCCTTGCACCTCCTGGCCACTATGGCTAATTATCTTCCTACCCCAGGGACCACCAGCAACCCTGGGCCCTGGCTGGTGCCCCTGCAGCACCCCACACCCTACCTCTGTCTACGCTCTGCCCACACCCCGCATGGCGCTGGTCAGGTTCCAACCTGGCGCCAATGTCTAAATGTCCATCATTCTCAGACCAAAAATACTGTCTTGTGTGTTTATTTGAGATGGGGAGGGAAGTGGGGGTGGGAAGGCTGGGACCTCTCCAAGGTCTTTCAGCATCAGTCTGGTGGCAGCTTCAAACCCTTTTCCTGCCTGAGGCTGGGCCCCAGGCAGGGTGCACAAGCATGCTGAGGGCTGTCACAGCAGGAGGACAGGCATCCCAGAGCCTGTCCTCCCCTGCTCCCCAGGCCTTGGGAAAGCAGGCTGGCCAGCTGTGTTGAGCGGGGGAGGGGAGGTAGCACCTGCTGCAGTTAGAAATAGCCGGTCTCACGGGTGACCCACTTGAGCTGTGCCAAGCAGCAATTAGGTGCTCTCCTCAGCGGGGCCTCCCTGTACAGTGCTGGAGCTGGGGTGGGGCAGTGTGAAGGCAGAGGAGGGGCCTGCACAGCCCTTGCTGGTCTAGACTGTCCTTGAGCCACATTGCTGCTGGAGGAGAGGCTGAGCTCTGCAGAGTGACTCATCCCCAGGGGCCAATGCAGCAAAGTGTCTAGACAGCCTAGCAGAAGTGGGAGGGGGTTCTGGAGAGCTGCCTCCTATCTTGGCTCCCTGGGGCCCAAGCCACCTTCAGCCACAGATGTTAGGAGGGGGAGCCCTTGGCAGCACCCTGTCTGAGGCACCCCAGTGTCCCACCCGCAGCTCACAGTTACAATCAGGGTCCCAAGCTTTGGGAGTTGAAGTTGTATGAAGCCTCCTCAGGCCCTTGACCTGGCTTAATCTCCTGCCAGCTAAGTCCACAGGCCTGCCAGTAATACTTGCAGTGCCCAGAGGCCACTTTGGGTTTGCAGAGGTGGGCTTGAGCAGACCTGCCACTGCAGGAAACAGTGAGCAGGGTACAGCCTGAAGCGGGTGTCCCAGCCAGCAGCACCTGCTGCTGAGCTCACAGGCATTCCCATAGGCCCCTCCTTCCCCAGGGGTCACTTCTTGGGCAGGTCCCACCATCCTCCCAAGAACACCCTGGTTCTTCCTGCACCCGTTCCACCTGAGAGGCTAGAGGTCCACCTCTGAGTCTACTGGAAAGTCCTCCAGCCCCATCCCCTTCTCTAGTGACCTCTTTTCCTCTCCCTGTCTCTTCATTTCTGACAGGACTGGGAATGCAGCTCAGGGTTAGAGCACTTGCCTGGACTTGATCCCTCTCTCTGTCCTGTGTCTCCTGCCTCGGTGGTGATGGCCATCATGTCACTCTCCTTGTCACACCTCCATGGCTTCCCTGTCCTAGAGGTGACCTCAGAAGGGTCTGGCATCACCTCACCGGTGCCCAAGCTTTGTAACCTTGCACTTTCCCCCAAGGACTAGAGTGAGTGGTTCTGACGTCCTGTGGGCTGCCAGGGATTTCAACCTGGCTTTCCCTTCTGGGAGCCCTGCAGCTGGGCTGCACATGGAGTGGAGAGACAGAGTGCTCACCACACATGCAGTTAGAAATAGCCGGTCCTGGGATGGATCCCCAGAGCCACACAAAGCCACGCAACCTTTCAGTGCCTGTTTCCTCGTGTGTGAAATGGACACAGTAATCGAATTCAACTTACCAGCAGGTGGAGAAGAATTAATTGCAGCCATTGTTCATGCCAGACAAAGACCCCTGAGGTGCATCTTTGTCTGGCTCCTAGCTAGATGTGTGGCCCTTCTTGAAATTCTAGTACAATGTCTCCAGTGTTTTAATCCTTCTATGTCCAAAATAAAGCCCTACCCATCTCCTGAACCTGGTCACAGYGTGTGTCCCTATCTAAGCCAACTGGAACCACCCACAGACATGCTATGCACACGTGCTTGGTGCCAGATGACAGCAGTGTCACCAGGATTCTGTGATGCAGGATTCCCTCCAGAAGTGCCACGTGTTCAACAGTCCAGCAGCCCCCAGTTACCAGGGACACAAACATCACCACATCCTTTCAGAGACCACAGTTCTACCCACAACAAGCCCAGCTACTAGTCCTTGTAGATACTGAACATGAGAAATGTGGCCAGTGCAGCTGAGAAGCCACATTTTAAATAAACTTAAGTTTAAATAAGCATATGTGTTGATTGGGTGCTGGGTCCAATAGCACGTTTTAGATGATTGTCTTTATTGTTTCTCTGTGTGTGTGTTGCCTGGATTTAACTCAGGGACTCACACATACTACCACCGAGTTATATCCCCAGTCCTTACATTTTAGATAGGGTCTCACTAAATTCCCTAGGCTAGCCAGGAACTTGTGATCCTCCTACATCAGCCTCCCAGGTCACTGGGACTATAGGTGTGTACCACCTGTAACAGGTTTATAATTTTTTTAATATATTTCTTATATTAAGAAATCTTGGCATAGCCAAAGAGCACAAAAACGTTTCCTTACACTCTGTTTCTGGTGGCCACCCTCGTACGTGCTGTGAAGTGGGGAGTCCACTGTTACAATATGTGATGGAATCAGGCTCATTCTGGGTGGATCGGGCTGGCAGGGGAAAAAAAAACACACAGAAAATACCTTTTTCAGGGTCCAGGACAGCTTTGCAGCCTGAATCAAGCTCCCGGCCTGGAGGGCATGGAGAGCAAGGGAGGCAAGAGGCAGGCAAGAGAGCCAGCACACCTGAAACCCCCCTATTCATTGGGGAGAAGCCATTCATAGAATATTCCACCCAAATAAGGCAGGGGATTAGATTTCAGAGGGAGGAACCTTGCTTGGTGATGTCGTGGTCAGCAGTTTGACTGACATCTTGAAAAGCCATGCCCACCTCAGGTGATGTGTGGGATCATAGGCAGAGCCAGAGAAAAGGCACACATATGTCGTGCAGCCCAATCAGGCAGCAACGTAAGCCCGGTTCCCTCACATGCTCAAATGCACATAGCTCACACCCACAGTCCACGGATGGCTTGCACCAGTCGACACGTCACCAGCCCCATCCACAACACCACCCCTCGACTCTGGTGCTGGGGTACTCTCTATCATGCAGCACATGCCCACCAGCATGCTCTGTTCCATAGCTGTTACACATGGCAGGTCTGTCATCCCTCACTGCCACTACGTTATCTTTAATACCTGTAGGAAGGGTTTCCCACATTTGCTCTTTTAGAACTTGAGAGTTCTGCTTCCAGCCAAGATGAAGTAACGGATTAAAATTACCCTACCACATGAAACAACAAAAACCTCAAAAAACCTCACAGTTCCCAGTACACAGGACTAAGGGGATGGAGGGGTGGCCCTAAAGGACAGGCATGAGCTGAGTGCTGTGGCCCTGACTTACTGACCACAGGAGGTTTTCTGGAGGTGGGCTGGGGACAAGAACTCAGGCAAAGAGTGGTCTCTCAGGATGGGGAGGACGGCACCGGGCTCCAGCAAGCAGGGACAGCTAGTGCAGAAGCCTACTGGAGGGAAGGAGCCCTGGGGTGCCTCTGAGTGCCTGCGGGTGGGCACCTGTGTGTCTGAAAGTCCTCAAAGTCCATGAAAGCCAACACCAAGAGCTGGAGCAGGAGGAAGAGTGCCTACCAACAGCTGGAAGGTGAAGGCTCTACGGGAACTCTGCTCTCACACACAGGGCTGCCTGAGGCTCGGGGACACTCGTGTCCCACGGTTTCTGTCCTTTTCGCTGTCCCATCTTGGTTTCTATTTGTGTCTGCAGCGTTGCAACTGTCTCTTCACTGTACAGAAGCCTTAACCCCATCCAGTGCTTTCTCTCAGACACTGCAGCATGACCCATACAAAACAAGTCAATAAACTGTGCTTCTTGATACATTTAAAAACTTCTATTTTTGATAGGTATTGATGAGAATAAAAGTCACAGGGAGAAATTATTTACAAACCATGATCTCAGATCTATATATATGAGAAATGTGTATAATCGTATTTTTTTTTTTAGAGAGAGAATTTTAATATTTATTTTTTAGTTTCTTTAATTATGTGACTTTTTTTTAGAGAGAGGGATTTTTTAATATTTATTTTTAATATTTAGTTTTCGGTGGACACAACATCTTTGTTGGTATGTGGTGCGGGCCGCACRCATGCCAGACAAGCGGCTACAGCTTGAGCCACATCCCAGCCCTGGTATTTGTATTTAAAGACAGGGTGTCACTGAGTTGCTGAGTGCCTTGCCATTGCTGAGGTTTGGCTTTGAACTCACAATCCTTCTGTCTCAGTCTCCCAAAGCAGGCATGAGTCTCCACACCCAGCTTTCTCATTTTTGAGACAGGTTCTCAATGTTTTGAAGGTGGCTCAAACTTGTAATCCTTTGTTCCATGCAAAATCCCGCTCCGCTGGGATTAAAGGTGTATGCTATTGTATGCTATTAAAGGCCAATAATTACTTTTTCTTTTCTTTTTTTTCTTTTTGACAGTACTGGGTATTTAATCCAGGGACTTCAACATGCTAGGCGAGCTGCATCTCTAGCCCCTTAGCAGGTTTTTTTTTTTTTTTAATTTTTATTTTTTAGTTGTAGTTGGACACAATCTTTATTTTTTTTATGTGGTGCTGAGGATCAAACCCAGGGCCTTGCATATGCTAGGTGAGCGCTGTACCGTTGAGCCACAATCCCAGCCCCAGAGTTTCTTTTTTAAAAATATGTCTTTATGGCTGGGGATGTGGCTCAAATGGCAGTGCGCTCGCCTAGCATTCGTGAGGCACTGGGTTCGATTCTCAGCACCATGTAAAAATAAAAAAATAAAGATGTTGTATCCACATAAAATTAAAAAAATAAATATTAAAAAATGCTTTTAGTTGTAGATTGACACAACACCTTTTATTTATTTTTTATGTGGTGCTGAGGACTGGACCCATTGCCTCACATGTGATAGGCGAGTGCTCCACCCCTGAGCTGCATTCCCAGCCTCTTAACAGTTTCTTAAAATATCAAATGTGCACTAACTGAAGGCAGATTTAAAGTTAGGTAGTCAGTGTAGTTAGGTAAATCGGGTCTAATATCGAGTGAAATCTAAAATGGAGGCCATGCTGGGAATGACTCAGGGAAAACAGGACAACTCATGGAGTGTTAATAAAGTTCCCAAAAGGCCCTAGGCCAAAGTCCACCTGGAAGAAATGTTAATGAACATCCCCCAACAGATTTGAAGACAGCCCATCCCAAAGAAATGTTAATGAAGCCCAGGA